ATTATTATTTCTTTAAGTGTTATTAGTATAATTTCATATTTTATTTCTCTCTGCTATTTCCCATACTAGTAGACTACTTATTGCATTTCTAGACTACAAAATGTCACCTTTAGCACAAATAGAATAAACATAAAAAATTGTTACATACGATCTTTTGCACTCATTATAGCGATATGCAAAATTTCAGAACGTTACACTTTTTCAATAAGCAGTCCGATTTCAATGATTTTTTTTAATATCCTGTAGAACAGGTTCCTTTTTATTAGATTATTGGATTAATTATTGAATTATTAAATAAATTAATTTAGTGATGATAATCCTACCTGAGAATTTTCGTAGATAACAAATTTGTAGGTTATGATAAGATGAAGCATTCACGAAGTTTTTGGCGGATGTTAATAATTTGATAAAAAGGTGTAAGTGCCTTGGACAATAAATGTTTTAGGTATATATTTCAAATAAGCATGACGATGCTTTGAGAAAAATTTCGTTTTTATAAAAAAAGTTTATAGTTTTTGATTAATTCTGGTCTACAATTCTTCATGCATTATAATTTTTTTTAAACTTCGTTTCGGAGAAATATTTTATTTATTTAAAATTTTATTTAAATCTATAATCAATTTAACTTATAAATTTATTATTACAACAGCTACAGTGAATTTTTGTAGCTAAATAATTAAATAACAGAAATTATATTCAAGATGTCGTTGTTTTGAAATATGTCAGATTTACGCTATCAAGGAAAATTCGTCTAAGCACTATGAGACTCAAGTAGAAGCTATAAAAATACCGGAAGGATAAGAAGAGCCTCAACATGTTTTAACAAGCTAATGAAAAAAAAAATAAACGATGCCTAAAAAGTGTTCAGAACAGAAAATGCCAGCCTAATATCGAACTTCTTAAGTTTTTGAGTGTTTTTTTTTTTTTGTTATGCATGTTTCTTGAACCCAGCCGGTATTTTTTATCATTTCTTTTTTGTTTTGAACGAAGGCATGACATAAAACCTAGGGGAGTTGATGACTGCCGGCTGTGTTAGGCTAACTTCGGAAGCATCGCACCGACAACAAAAAATTTTTTGAATAAAAAATATACTTGACCCTCCAAGATACTTAATCAACTTACTATACCATAATGACAAGCTCGTCTTCATTTCTTGTACATAAATTAAGTATATACATCATGAGATATAATGTATATATAATCAAATGTTTTCTCCTTCTCTTGCTCGAAAGTCTATCAGAGCCTAACAGTAATATTTTTTAAATTTTATTTTCCGGTTAAGATCAACATTAAAATACACACAAATACTATTGGCTTGGTCTCGGCAATAAAAAAAAAAAATGTATATTTATATGTATATATAAATTCTTCTCCATCACTTGCTATCTTGTGCTATTCTTTTTCAGTTTTTTGAATAAAGGTCTGCATCGTTATTAATTTTGGTTTTTATCGAGGCCTTTTGCCTATTATTGAGACACTTGTTGTGTAGAGATTTCCTGATGGATTGCTCCGAGCTATGTGTCCTGCCAATTTTAACCTCCTTGCCTTCATACCATGACGTATTTATTGACCATTTTCTGTAATCAGTTCTTTATAAGTCCTTCAATACTTATTTCTAGCATACTAGTCATTGTTCAGTTCTTGAAACCATATATCAGAACCGGCTTAACCATAGCATTTTAAATAGTAAATTTGAGATTTCTGGATATTTTTCGTTATTTGATATATTTCGTTATTGATTAACTTCCAAAGAAAGAAGAAAGCTCATATATCATATGCTGGTCTCTTTCTGAATGTTGGTCATTCGTTGAGGTTATTGTTGAGTCGAGGTATATGAATTTCTCGGTAATGATTTTCCTAATGGATTGAAATGTTCTGTCATGCATGTAAAGGAACGAAAGATATATTCAATACGAACATTTTTTTATTGAATAAAAAAGATTATATATGTATATATATATAAATTATTTATATATTTTAAAGCAAAAAATAATATATTCTGTTTCATTAGCCGTAGAGCGACCCTAGGATAAGAGAACCTCCTGGGGCACACCCAGCCTCTACAAAATGGGTACTCTTAATTAAATAATTGATTAAGGGAAAAAACCTGTCGGTTGAGCTTGATCTTGGTCCGATCTCCTCCCTGCATAACCTTTGGGCTTGAAACAGTACTTTTCCTAAATAGTACAGAACCCAAGGCACTTCATGGGTTGTAGTGGTACAGGTAGTGGTACAATATATATATATATATATATATATATATATATATATTATATATATATATATATATATATATATATATATATAGGGATATAATCAGTCCTTTTTATTATTCACATTAGGATATAATAAATTTAAAGCATTGTCTCTCTCTTAGTTTGTACGTGTTAGTTTTTTTTATTTGGGTAACTATTTCACAGTAGTAAAAATTCTAACGTTTGGTGAATAATTAAATGATTTACTAATTATTTAATTACGATCTTTCAGCCACTGTTTTTTTTATGGCATTATTTGTGTCTTTTGGGGCCAGAGTACTTAACGGTTGAATCATCTTTAATAGCTAAGGTAATGAGTAAATATATATAAACTGTTATTATCAAATTTATAATGTGACACAACAGCCCAGGTAAGAACAAGGCAAGGAACATTATGTAAATCCTTGCATAATCTACTTGGGCTTAGTTCGAGAGAGGAAGGGGGAGAGTTTCGGTTCACAACTAACTCATTTCCATTTCTCATCTAAAATGATTCAGGAATTCGCAAGTATACATTTCGATGGTTGGGAAATTGTGTATGTTTATAATACTCATTCTTCTAAGGGTGTATTATTTTTATTATAAGTCTTCTTGAACATACATACGAAACATCAGCAAAAATATCGTTTAAAAAGCTATATATTCGGGTTCCACTTAGCAATTTAATATTAAAATATTGTTGCGATATAGAAGAAAATTGAAAGTAAATACCATTCTGCTTATCATAACGAACAATATTTTTTATTGAAACTACTTTTACTGAGAATAATCCGATTCCAGATAAATAAGGACCCAGGAAAAACAAAAAATCTTATTAACATTGCTCTAATAGATTGAAGACACGTAAAAAAAAATAAAATAAACAATCTCATCATATTCGCAGTTGACGGTGGCTGAACTTCTAGTTACAATTATAACAAGAAAGGATGAAAAAAACTAAAATAATTGGGGCATAAAGAAATATATATCAGTCGAAGATAGATTGGGTATATGGTTTCAGATTTTCATATAATGTCAAATTAAAGAAGACATTTTCCTCTTATCGAGGCGTTGTATGTTTCTTGATTTAGGTTTTAAAAAATCATTTTTTTATTCCTGTTGGTCTTTCAGATCTTGTAGATCCTTTGCTGTCTTAGCCAACCTATATTTGGCTACCTTGGGCTATTTTTTTTCCAGTTATCAGAATGCAGCTGTAATGCATCTTTATTGATTAGGTCTATCTATCTAGATTTTGGCCTTCCACGCTTCCAGATAGATTGTTCCGATTTCTCTCATTCCGATTCCTTTCGTCATAATCAGAGACCGGATTTTCGTGCAGTAAAAAAACTCGAAATGTGCTAAATCGTGCAGCAAAAATCCAAAAAACCCTGTAATTGAGTAATCAACATCTTAAACGTGTAAAATCATCAATATTATTTAATTTATAACATTAATACATCGAAAACTTATCAGGTCTTCAGTTAACCGAGAGTTTTTTAGTATTTATATCATTACAAAAAATATTTTTGGGGACATTAAGTTCTCAAACTCCTCAAGAAAAAAAAAAAACATTTAATTCTTTGATAGGAATAATTTTTTCATACATGTTTTACAATGAGCGTCTATCAGTGATTCCATATCACCTGGTTGATTTTTCGTAAGGTATAAAGAACTTTCTCATCGAATTCTTTCTCCTCACATTTCAAATCAGGATATTTTTATATCCAGATTTTAATTGTTGACGAGATACTAGATCTTACTTTCTGCATTATCAATTTTTTTCTCAATGATGAAATTTCTACAAATCAATTTAAAGCCAGAAGAGATACTGAAGGGTTGAACGGTGAGTAAGGATTCAAGCCAAAACAATAATTATAAATGTGTTACTAACAAAGCAGCTAATTTTAGGAAAGCAGCTTTTTATTATCCAATACTTTAGCAAGTTCTATTCCAAGAATATATCTCATTTGTGTTTACTTCTTCGTTTTTTAATGAATACGATTTTTTCTTCACACAGAATCATTTACCTTCCTCATATTTTTCTACTTTGAATAATGAATTTAATTTAACAATAAAGTAAAATAAAAAGTAATAGTAAAATAAATATTAACAGACTCACTTACACATTTGTATTTATAAATTGTCTAATTTAGCACAAAAGTGCAATTTAATGCATCAAAAATCAAAATCGTGCAACTTAAGCCAAAATGGTGCAATATAAAATTTTAATATGTTATTCTACAGGTCCCGAAACGGAAAGATATTCGAGTCCGGAATTTTTACACGCAAGCGAATAAAAAGTGAAATAACATGAAAATCCGGCCTCTAGTCATAATAAAAAAAAATTCAATGCATAAAAAAGAATATATGTAATAAAAATCGTTTTTCTCCTTATTTTTCATATATATTAATTAAACATTGTTTGCCAGATAACTGAAAAGCTAAGAAACATCGGCAGAAAATAGCCTTCAAGATTTTCTGAGCCATACTGGCAAAACAATCATGGAAACGAAGAATGAATAAGGAGTAATGGAGCTCACTTTTGCCAACACTGTGTAACTTAATTCTGTATTCAAAATCAAAAAGAATAATCATTTTCTTGGTGTATGAATTCTGCCGAATACGTTAATAATCCAATGATTTTCGTAAAAATTATATACATATATATATACTTAAATTACGAAATAGTTTAGGTTAGGTTAAATCTATGAAATCATTAATCATTGGGTTAGTAACAATAAATCTCTATTCTAAGCTATTCTTCAGGTTTTCTTTTCCCTTTTTATGTTCTATTTCGGGGAATCCTCTCCAGAGGAATTCCTTTATCCAGGACCTCTCCCCGAAGACGAGAACTCCTCCCGAAGATCAACTACCTGGAAGCGACGACAGAGCGGATGAAAGTGACACCAGAGGCCGTGAGAGGGGTCAGAGGTTCCCACGCTGGGTATCCTAGCTATTATCTAATAGTTATTGGTTGGTCACTACAATCCTGGTCCCTATCATTGTCTACTGTCGATCCTTCTTGGAACTCTGTCTCCAAGAAGTTGAAGGCTTTTGGTAACTCGTTGGATTCATGCTAGTGTGTAAATAAATCTGTTTATGTGCTAAATTAATTATATATATATATATATATATATATATATTTAATTATTTCATAATGATATTTACAACTGTATTATATAAATACATCTAGTAAATTTGAACATATGGATATAATGACGTGAAAACACTTGCTGAGTAATTACCCAATGGTAGCACTCTAATGATATGTCTACATTAGGAGATCACGGGGCCATCTTCTTTTCAGACGCCTCGGATGGTTATCAGGGATCGAGGAGAAAGCAAGGTTTGAAACGAGAGGGTTAGGATGATTCTAAAGTTTATTATGGAAGGATAGGTATCTGGATTGGCCAGATCTGAAACATAAGAAACATTAAGGTCATTATGGATGATTTTATTTGTGACAAAGTAAGGAGCGTTGAGAATTTTACGAAGGATTTTGGATTGTAAGGATTGGATACGAGAGGAATTCGATGGTTTAGTGGAGCCCCTAATTCCGTAAGTTCCGTAAGTCCAAATAGGTCTTATTATTGTCATGTGTATGAGTCGTTTGTAATTGATTGAAAGCTTAGAGCGTTTGTCTAGTAAGTGGTGCAGTAGTCGAAAACGTCGGGCGGTTTCTAGTCGTTTAAGTCTGGTATGGGGGTCCCAAGTGAGTCGTTTGTCCAGGTGGAGTCCTAGGTATCGGATTTGTTCGACAGGGATAAGAGGTCTATTGTTGACGGATACTGTAGGACAGAAAGCCATAGGTTTACGACGAAGAGTGAAGGTAATTTGATAGGATTTAATGGAATTTATTTTAATCCTCCAGTTTTGACACCATTTTTCAAGACTTGTGATGTGTGATTGAAGAATTTGCAATAGATGGAGTGAGTGATGCAATAGATGGATCGTTATTAACTGATAGGATATACGTGTCATCGGCATCGGTGATGACAGTTTTGGATAATTATATAAAGTTAGAATATTTAGTTTTCGTTTTAAGTTTATTAGTTATGTTCGTACTTTCTACCGCTTGGTAAAGGGACTTATTGTAGTAGGGTCAAATGCCATGATTATCATGAGAACGACTGAACCTATTCTGTTGTTGCGTTTTAGGGTTTAAAACTAATTTAAATAATTTTGTCACTATTTAGCCTATTTATGAACGCCACATAGGACCATCTTCTTCCTTTATAATGCAACGGTCAACTATTAATTCAATATAAATATTTATAAAAAATAAACGGAATGTATGTAGAGTAAATTGAGAAATATCATACTGAGATAATAACAAAGTTACATCGTGGGGATCTATCGACATCTAAAACTGACGAGCCATCGTTGATTCAATCGCTGAATGCAGGAACGCACTGAATTCCAATGCTTTCTATCGATGTGTTTGGGAACGGTTTGTTGGATTTCCAATGCCTTCGATGAGCTCATCGCCTTATCCTATAACTTCTAGACCGATTGATATGAAGTGTTCAAAATCCTGCTTATAATTACGCAATATTTAAAAAAGAATTAGGATGATAGAATATAGTTGTTTCGCTCGGGCCGATTTGCCGAAATTGTTCTGAAACAAGAACATGGAAGACCGAAGTACACAGTAACATGGAACATGGAACATGGAGGTTGCTGTGGGCTAGGAGCTGATATTGTTTACCAGAAGGTAATTGCCATTGGAGCCGTCGGAGGGGGTATACTGTGGAATCCTTGTAGCTTCTATTATCTCTGTTAATTATATATCTCTGGTCAAGTTAATATTACTTTCTACGTCGTGTATATTATATATATATATATATATATAAAACAAAGGCAAAAACTATAAACCAAAGAAATGTAACTTGATGTTAAAATTGAATAAAATATTACAATTAAATTAAATTCCCTTAATTGAAATCTTATATATTAATGTTTTTTCCAATTCACAACCCGGCCTAAATTTGTCCCCTCAAAAATTTTGATTTTCAAAACTCAAAAAAAATTGATGACGCGACTTGCGGTGAATCCTATTACTTTCAATATGTTTATCTCGACGTATTTGCATGCTTCTATCTAGGTCTCAATATATTTATTTTTAGCCCTGTTGACGACCCCCGTGCTTAGGTCGAAACGTTGGCAAGTATAATAAACCGCATAAAGATTGCCTATCCTGATTATTTTGCACCCTCAAGTTGAACAGTCAACTATATCCATCTATCAATTTTGTGGGTTGATGGTTGGCTGTCTTGAATAATGAAGAGAGGGATGGTTGGGGTGATCAGTCAGAAATAAAATTGGCAAAAATAAATAATAATATTTGTTTAAACATTTGCCAAATATATATGTACTTTTCCAAATTATCTTCAATCGACGTTTATATTGAGTATTTTATTTTAACATAATTATTTAACTGGGAATAATGTCACTTATTAATTATTCAATAAACTACTAAATGTTCATTGCTTATGTGTTTATTCGAAGTTTCGACGTTTTTTTTTTTTTCAAGTTAACAATGGGATCCTCTTCGAAGTTTTAAAATAACGCCTCGATACCTCAGGCCTGGGACACACCGACAGTCTCAGCACCGCAGATATATTAAGCCATTGGTTATACAAACCCAGTGTGTTTTAGTTGTTATTTTGATTAGTTTAGTTCTTTTGTTTGTATACATTTACTTTTATTATTATTAGTTTCTGTATAAATTAAAAAAAATCTACAATTTCTGGGTGCAAACGGCTCAATATTTTTGAAGGCCACCTTTTTTCTCGACTTTGTGGTCAAGCTATCTTACGATCCAAGTAGAAAGCAAATGTGTATTTACGAGTTTTTAATACCTAATTAAATAGACAAAGTTTGTTCCGTTCCAGACTGAAAACTCCCCAATTCCTAGAGTTTTCTTAAATAAAATAGTTGTAAATTACGATAAGATGAAACTATTTACGAATTTTCAGGCGGATGTTAATAATTCGATAAAAAGGGGTCTGTACCACGGACTAGTGGATTAAGGAAGCAGTTATTTTAAGTAAAATGAACCACGACTTTGGAATGGCAGACAAGATAAATTTTACCTAAAATAACATGAACTTTCTTAATTTACACTCAAACCTCTTCCTAAAATGAGTACTCATTTCAGCTCTTGGTCCCTATGCTATGGTTGGGTGGATGGATGGATGAAGCTAGCTAGAGCTGATGTCAATGATCCACTCATTGAGCCGTAATGATGAAGATGTGCCGACCGATTTAGGGTGAATAATCCTCGACCATAACTCAACTCTCTTCGGTTTCAGCGCACGATTTTTATCCCTCGGCTGACGAATCCCAATTAATTGAGGGTCCTACATCAGTACCGGGGTACGGGGTACCCTGCTACACTATCCCACGCTTTCTTCTTCGGGTCGAAATCATAATGATTAATTACTTTTTTTTGCATAATATAAATATTTAAGTATGAAATCTATCTTGAGATTTCATATTCAATTGCTTTCAGCTCTCATTCCTTTTAATTAAGGTTTTTTATTATTTTTTATTCACCTTTATTAGAATTTAAATTAATTCATAAAATATATAAAAAGGATTCCAAACTTAAGTTTGCTTTTATTTCCATTAATGAATTTATTTATTTTTTCTTTGTTCTATATTATTTATATTCTTTATTGTTTGATTTTTTTGTGTTCTACTTTCCCCTCCTTGATATCATAAATATTGCTTAAATTCATTCATATGATATATTTGCTTAATACATCACTAGATAGCAAAATCATTCCAACAGAATTTTGTTTTATTTATTTCTTAAATAATATAATATTTTGCCACTTGGACAATAATTATTGTAAGAGGGATAAGGCCACATTCATCCTACATACACAGAATAATAAATTAATATAAAATAAGTAAAAAAAAAAAAAATCTGATATACCTATATATAATATATCATAGAAATATGTTTATCTTATAAATACATTTTAAAAAAATTATTTATAATTAAAATTAAAAAATAAATATTTTAGCATTTCTTCGGTTACAGAAATTCAATTAATGATCACAAATTCAGCAATAAAATTGTTATTGATACAAAATACCAATTTAATAGAAAATAAAAATATTTAAAAATTATTGATGGTAACAGATTAAAATCATACCATTATTTGGAAATAATTAATTAATTATTGTGAAAATAAATATAGTAATAATAAATCAGTATTAATCAATAATAATAAAATATATTATTAAAATTAACTTGGAGAAAAAAAAAAAAAGAATTCGCAGTCGGTAGGACTCGAACCTACGCTCCCAGAGGGAATCTGATTTCTAGTCAGACGCCTTAACCACTCGGCCACGACTGCTTGGTGCCCCTAAGTGCCAATTTTATTTCTTATCAATAACTATATCATTATTATATATCTATAATACAAAAAATATTAATATTATATATGTTAAGTATTGAAGATGTTTGATGATGGAACGGTTAGATTTGCACAGATTCGTATTATCTGTAACGATGATTCAAACTATCATAAACATAACATAATGTAATAGTGTATGGTGGTTGACTGTAGTCCATAATTAAAGAGAAGTTTTTTTGAGGTGTTCAGTAAAAAATAAACGAATTAATAATAAATAAATGATATTTATTTTTATATTTGCCGACGTTTCGGCCCAAAGTTCACACTTTCTTTTGACCCGAAACGTCGGAAAATATTAAAATAAATATAATTTGTTAATTTTTAATTTGTTTATTTTTTATTGAACATCCCAAACAACTACTCTTCAAAAACATCTTCGGATATCATAATTACTGGGCGTCCGGCGACTATGTGATCGTTTGGTTGGTTATCCAGGGGCACGACGAGGACGAGATCACAACACCCCCAAAATTACTGTACTATTATAAATAAGTATTTATTTTTTTTTTAGGGAGGATTATCT